AGTCGATGAATTAAATAATGTGATTGCTTATGTTGCTGTTGTTCATGCTGCTGTTGCTGTTCACGATTAGATTTAAGATCTTTCTTGCATGCATTTCGTCATGTGTGTTTCCGCCGACTGTGCATAGGAAATTACACATATCACAATCTTCGATTGCTGTCTACACCTGGCTAAACAAGTGCATTGACACAGGTCAGACAGAAAGCAAGTGATCATTATAGAAAATAAAAATAGGTTGAGCCACAACCCCAATTTGAAAGTACTATATAATTTATATAAGATTAATATTGACACTTCTCTTGCACCATTTTGTCAGTATTCATCAAATTAATAATAATTTCAGAGAACAGCACAAACCAATACAAAGAAACAAATCAAAAGACCCCCACCCCCCCCCCCCCCCAAAAAAAAGGGCAAAAGAAAAGAAGAAAAAAAAACATTAACAAATAACAGCAAAAACAAAGCAAAACATAAATGATGCAATTGAAAATATGCAACAAATTGTATGATGCCCTAATAAGTGCACTTTTGAAGTCAAACGATCCATTAGAAATTAATTTTAATTTCCATAGCTTTTGAAACAGAAATAAAAACAAAATTAATAACGAAATAAAATAGAAAATTCGTTCAATGTTATTCAAACTTCCACATGAGGTAAACAAAGCCTATATTTAGAACATCACAAGCGAAAAACAAGATAATAGTTTTCCATTACCACTTTGTTTACCAGCATTAACTTAATGATGAGGAGCACAGATTATTAAAGTCATATTTCATTATTTATAAATATCTTCATTGTATACTTTCTTTCATACCGCTACCGCACGGTCAGTAAACCGCGCCGCCAATTTAGTTGGCATGGTAACCAAAAGTACGAGATGATTGACGCGCGCCGATAAAGTTCTCCCGATTTTTCCGTCGTTGAACACGAGTCCTGTGGTCTGAAGACAAAGATATCCCTCGGGAGACTGCTACAACTCGCCGGAGGTTGACGTTAGTTTAGTGTCTGGTTCATTTTTTTCTAAAATCATTGCAAGAAATGGTTTTTATTTGTCAAGAAATATATCATTTCAGATAACACTATTTTGCTTCGTAACGTATGGGCTACATTTACCCGACCAGAATTGTGTTTTGTGGAGAAAAAAACAAACAGGTTCAACGCCTACTTAACTTGCGATAACATTGTAGCACTATTTTCTTTTAATGACAAATATGCAGTATAAAATATAACATTGTAGCACTATTTTCTTTTAATGACAAATATGCAGTATAAAATATAACATTGTAGCACTATTTTTTTTTAATGACAAATATGCAGTATAAAATTACTCTGATTTTTGCGACAAGAGAAAGCTGGTTGTCAAACACAATACCCCGTCTTCTACTAAACTTTAAACCCGACGCTGGATTTACGATTTTGCTCATATTTTTGTTTAACAAAGAAAGTTAGTCATAGCATGGTCTGAGGTACAAGTTTTCCTTTGATAACTATGATCTTATACCCAGCTACCCAGTGTTGGGTTAAACTGAATTAGTAGAATTCAAACCAACTTGAATAGGATGGAAGTAAATGTATTGATACTGTTCTCAGTCTGCCATCCATATCGGTACAAAGCTAAAGGAAAGAAGAGTAAGTCAGCAATCTAAGTGAGAAGTTGAATATTTGAAGATTTGAAGATTGCCAGTTCTTTGTTTCAAGAATGACGGATCAGAGACTCGAAATAATTTTAAAAGCGAGAAACGATGACTTTGTTGAACGAAAGGAAGCATGAAGAGCTTCCCGACAACCAGGATAACCCAGGGACAGACAGGACAATGATATGTCGAAGATAAATGGAGTAAATCCTTGTTCTAGATATTCATGACATTTCTACTAAATTCTAATCAAATACGGTTCGGTTTCCAGGTAAAATATATTGTTCTACCTCCTTCTACATTAAAGGATTTGAAAATGTTAACTTATTTCATGATTTGGCAATTGTTTTTAATCAAACGATAAATGCAGGTATCCTATGATGACAGGATAATGTCAACTCAAATGATATTCTTAAAAAGTCAACCGTCTCGTTTAGTCTAGTTTAGTCTAGTTTCATTTTCATTTGTCGCTGCTCCGGCTTTACCATGATAAAGAAAATTCGATATCACAAACTATAAACTGTAAAATCATAAGGACATGGAGCTTGAATATAGATCTTATGAAAGAAAATGTTAGGCTAAATGAAAGGCAGAAAAGGGTCAAGTTACATCACTTGCGACTTCCTGCGATTTTATGCTCTCCAAAATTGTAATATGTGGGAGATAGTCGTGCTTTTAAAAATATAAATATATCTTATGTTATTGACTTGAACTTTGCCTTGCGATTGACTCTTTTTTAAATTATCCACAGAACATTTATTTGCATACATAATGATAGTTATAGCTTCTTGGTCATGACGATATTTCAATAATTAAATATTTAAAAAAGATGATGTTAATCATCCGGTCAACTGTTTTTTTTTATAATGTAATTGATTACATGATTACATTTCAATTATTTTTCCTTCAATACTTCTAAATATAGTTCATCGTTAGTTCAGAAGGGTTAAAATGCTTCTCTGCACTATGAGATGACACATTCTATAGTTGTCGATGAATAGATTCTTTCATTCATATTGCTGATGGCGAGTGTCAAGCAGAGTAGTAAGTATGAATCTAATGTATTGTTTGTTACCTCAAACCTATCAATCTGGTATGATATTAAAGTGGGAATTAACTGAACGGAGTATCTCGTACAGTAAAGAAAAGAAGAATGAGAGAAACATTCTCATTTTAAAAGAACTTCATGATGAAAGGCCCCTACAAAGAGAAAGCTCCAGGTCGCACAGGCATTGAAATGAGGGAAGGGGTGGGTGAGGGGAGGGATGGCCGGGTGGGGGCTCGTTTTGGAAATTGATCTGGTTCGTTAATATAATAGGCTGACAGCTCTAAATTATATGAGTTCGCTTTACAAGTATGGCTGTGAGCGATGACTTATTTCAACTTTTCCCTAGCCTGGGTTTGGCAATTTGATTATGCTATTAACAAAATATTTTTAAAAAATCATATGGCTAATAAGTCAGTTTAAGTTGAAAAAATACCCCAAAACAAATTTCCTTCCGAAATTTAAACTTTGAGAGAATTACAAAGGTAGATAACAAAGGTTTTCGAAATCAAGCCAAGCGTTCGTCCGAGTTAATTTAATAACTAATAACCTCTGGCCACTTCACGTCATGCTTGACTATTTCCCTTTAAATATCTCAAACATACTACTATTTGTTTGATTTGAGCCCGGATATTTCCTTTAAAGTAGCCACCTATTAACGTGCACCTTTCCCGTGATGAGGTTGATAGTGACCATGAACCCACAAATCTTAAAAAGTATAGTTTTTGTCCGACACGCCACAGTTCGCGAGATAAAATATGTCTATATTGTCTCCCAATGGACATAAATTAGAACATCAGTCTGCGAAATGAGCCGAGGGGGACAGGAGCGTTATTGAAGAAAAAATAACCATCGTGTTCTTTTAGGTCACAAATAGTGTTTCAGAAGTATTCTGTTACAAATATTCTCCCAAGTACATATTGAAAACTGTGACAAGGGCATGTAAGGTTATTAGGGGCTAGGAGTAAATCAAGTATAACATAGAAATAAAGAAAGAAAGAATGAAAGACTGAAAGAAAGACAGAAAGAACGAAAAACAGAGAGTAAGTGAGAGAGAGAGAGAGAGATAGAGAGGGGGGGGGGGAGTAAGCAAACGAAAGAATCATCGGCAAGAGAAAATATTCTTGATGGGTATTCATGATTACGGATAGTTTCTCACATCGGTGTTCTGGCATATAATAGAGAAAATACTGAAGGAAGAATATAGGAGAGGGGAGAAGGAGGAGGTAGGGAGAGAGAGAGAGAGAGAGAGAGAGAGAGAGAGAGAGAGAGAGAGAGAGAGGGAGGGAGGGAGAGAGGAGAGAGAGAGAGAGAGAGAGAGGAGAGAGAAGGAGAGAGAGAGAGAGAGAGAGAGAGAGAGAGAGAGAGAGAGAGAGAGAGAGAGAGAGAGAGATGGATAGCTTTGTACGATATTGTAAATTTAAACAAAAAACTTGTTGGTATCCTTGCTTTTGAAAAAAATAACTGTTTGGATACGATAATTGGTTAGGATTACAAGATTTAAAGAAGAAATTGGAACTTGATGTGAGCAAAATAGAAGGCCAAGTTAAACATTTAATCTTCCTAATAATATAGCAGGCCCATTGTCTGATATGCGAAAGCACATCATGTAAATTCTTTGTGTAGATGCCCTGTCGAAAACTTCTTTAAAAGCTGAAATATAGCAGTCAATCGAAAGGTGGCGCTATTCAAGCTATTATCTCAGTACAAAGTTGACTAGATTGAAAACTCAGTTTCCCGTTTTGCGAGTCCATGATATGAGAAACTCATCTCTCTCTCACCCCCTCTCTCTCTCTCTCCCCCCTCTCTCTCCCTCTCTCGTTTTCTTCTTCTTCTTCTCTCCCCTTCCTTTCCCTTGTCTTCTTTTCTACTTTTTCTCTCTCTTATAATGGGTGACATTTCCTATTTACTCACTCCCCACATCTCATTTCTTCTGTTTCTTTGAATATAATACCTACCTATTATCTATTAGTAAAAGAAAAATCTTGTGAAGAACTAACATCACATAACACAAATAGCCTCCTTTTCCTTGCAAAAAAGTACAGTCAAAAATCGTTATCAGCTACTTCCTTATGCATTTAATGATATTATTTAAGCAATAAGATATAAAATATACAATATTTACAATTCACAATATTTTATACAAATAATGCTATATCATGTCCTTGGTATAGTAACATTAACATTTCTGATCTTTTTTTCATAATTTTAGGACCAGATTTAAATGCCTAACCTCCCCCCCCCCCCCCCCCCAAAGGTAAGAATACACTATAACAAACAAACAGTTCACACTTAGACAATAACAAACAAGAATGTTCCAAATAATAATCTAACTTCATAAAAAAGAAAGCACTAACAATATTTTATAGAACATGAAGGTAGCTGAATCGTGAGTGATCTTTCTTGGAATAAATCTCGGCAAAGAAAGGCATGTCAAATGAGAAATGTCATTCTTAGTTCTTTATTCTTTTCAGTCCATTCAGAAAATAAACTTGAAGGGGGGGGGGGGTTCCTGATAACTTGAAAGGCATTATAACATTGGTGAAGTCATATTATAAAGTTAGTATTACACAAGGCCCAATAGATTTAAGCCTATGGTCATATTTAATTAGATAATGTAAGGTATTTGAACAATGTATTATTAAACGGGCAAAAATAATTAATAGTAATGATGAATGAATAAAATCACAACCCCTCCACATGTACAATTTCAACTTAGACAAGGATTTTTGTCTAAAATTAAGGGATTTGATTTCTAAAAAGTTGCTTGATATATACATGTAGCCTTAATTTGCAGACCTTTCAGTTTAGGACTATTAATAGACTCAATAGCAAATGGATCTCATGCTTTATTCAATAAATTAGAAATGCACCTACACAAGAGAACTATTTTCATTGGAAAATATTGACCTTGTACAAATATAACAGCTGAAATAGAGAGGGGGAGGTGGTGCAGGTTTAATGTGGCTGTTGGCATAATATCTAATACAGTATGTGAAAGGCTAATTTTCCAATAGCAGATTTTCAAAGTTTCTTCTAAATTTAGAAATTTCTCAGTTCTCATGTCTGTCACCTTTTAAGTGTTGTTACTATAGAATATAATTGTGTCTGACAGGTGATTTTTCTTTTTAAAGTCCTTCCAAAGCCCCAAATTTCTAATTTCTTATGTCTTTCTCCTGGTGATATGATCATAGATGACGACCTGGATGTACTGTGGACACTCGATGGGAGTCCTTGTAGAGTTATCACCTGGAGAGGGCGCTTTAGGATCCACATTGAGGATCTTGCGATCACGTTTATTCTTGAAGAGGAGCCCGGTTGCATTCTCAGCGATGACCTGGTAGTTTGGAGTTGGGTTAGATGTTGATGTCTGTGTCTCCCAATTGTAAAAGCTGTTGGAAAGAAGACAACAAGAATACTTCATAAATTAACAGTAGGTAGGAAGGTTAGATTTCAACTATTGTCTTTGGTACCATTACATTTAGTAGGTTCAAATGAGCGAAAGAGTACTTCATTGCTTGATTCTTGAACAATCACGCAATGAATGAACATACTCTTCCTATGGACAGCTTTCAATCCAACAATTTCTCCTCGCTGTCTCCCCCCCCCCCCCCGCCCCCCCCCCCAATCAATCCCTACCAGTTTATTTCTTTCTCTCTCCTTAATATCTCCTATGCTCTGGATGTACTCAACTTTATTCAGTCGACAAGGACCTGATGCATGAGACCCCTAACATTTAGCTCACCACCTGTAGAACAAAAATTCTATGCAAACTCCTGTTGTATTATGCATCTCACATGTAATTATTTGCATTACAAGATTCATAATCATACATGTACATACAAAAATTCCTTCTCTTTCTATTTTTATTAAGCGCTTAGAGACATATTTTGTGATAAGCGCTATACAAATGTTGTTAATTATTATTATTATTATTACAATATTTCTAGGTTTCATATGACTTATCATTCAGCTTCTGCTGCTGATCAGATTTTACAAACCAATACATAAATGACAAATAACTTAAATAACTTATAGTTTGTCCTAGATGCATGAAGGTTATGATATGATGGATTACACCCTGATTGGAAAGGGGATACCCACCTCAAGTCTGACGGCCTCGGGAGAAGCCTCTTCCTTCCGCTGAAGTACGGTTCAAAGTCCTCCGTCTTGAGTCTATGAGCGTAGTCAATGTACCCTGAGATCTCCTGTCCTCTCGAGTTCTTGTCTCGGATGAAGATGATTGAGGTCATCTTACCACTCCTGTTGGCTTCCTCCCGCTGGGCTAGGGCCTTCAAGAATGAGTTCTTCAGATCCTTTCCAGAGCTGGCTAGAGTCCTGACCATTCATAATAAATCATTTGAAAGATTAAATATATGAATTCAATGAACACTTATTACACCCAAAAGAATATGTGTTGTAATCACATGCTTTACTCATACCTTTCACCACCATGGAAGCCTTCAATGATTATGGCTCACATAAATATAATGTTTAAATTTTACTTGAATATCCATGTGTATTAACCACCCCCTAAAAATAATAATATATACATATGTACATGTATACAATGAATGTTCCTTTTTGTGTTTATTATTAGTTTTTGCTTGATATTGTCATATAAAAAATTCCAATACATGGATACAGATGATGTATTTTCTTATGGCATTCACCATGGCATTACTGATGGGAGGTAGGGAGTGACAAGCACTTTGGGCACAAGTTCCTAAAACTAGACAATAAACCAACACAACTTCTTACAACATGATATAAATTCCCATATTTTTTGTTTACTTCATGCCCATCCTCTATCAAACATGTGTATTTGAGACAGAAGACCTGTAAAGGAGAATGTACATGTACATACATACAGACAAATCAGTCTCTTTCATTAGTTGATAATTTTCCACCGAAACTACATCTGGGTTCACCAAATGTCTTGGAGGAGAATGTCAAAAGACATAATACAGTGTATGTTAAAAAGAAACTCCTCCAAGCAGACAGATTTTTCTATCTAACATACGACAAGACTTACTTTTGTTGGCTTCTTTTTGACAGTCTACTGGCTTCTGCCGCTTGTTTTCTGGCTTCAAATTCTTCTCTCTTCAAGACTTCCCCACTCCCTCTGTATCCCAGTTCAACAAGTTGTCTCGCAAGTTCTTCATCCTGGAAGATTAGAATAAATGATCAGTAATAAAACATGAAAATTGTGTAAAGAATTCCACGGTATAGGTTTTATCTCAGATTTAACCCATTTCTTGATACCCTTACTTCAAAATAAAAATGGAAAGGGCAACTGCATTGAGCACTCTGTTCCTGAAAACATAATCGTGCCGGGGCATCCAGGAAAGGATTTTCAAATCGGTTCCAACAAGTTAATCCAATTAATCAAGATAACCAGATAACAGATAAAGGCTAGAGTTCTTTACAGGGGTATGCATGTACCCCCCACTAAAATTGAAAACAAAAGTATAGGCCTATAGGGTAACACAGACTCCGGTGTATAGGGTTAGGGTTGAAGATGATGATGATGATTCCCAGCATTTGTATCCCGCCATATCTGTTCAAAAAAGCATTCAAAGGCACAAGCTCCTCCAATAAAGTAAGCATTTAAATGTCTGAAGGAAGATGTGAGTTTTGAGTGAAGCTTTAAAGTGATCCAGGTTGTCAATTTCAATAGATGATGGGAGGGAATTCCACAGGCGAGGAGCAATAGAGGAAAATGCCCAGTCTCCATATCCCTTGACTTGAGACGAGTAGATCGATCTAGTAATGGGCATTTGTTTTTTCCGAAAAATACTCCAAAAATAACAAGAAAATTGACACGAAACAGGTAATAAACATAGGGTCTATCGACTTTTAACTCATGGTCTTTATTTGGAAATTTAATGAATATTTACTTAATTTGGAGTAGACTATGTTTTAGTATCTCCACGCCGGAGTTACGGGTCAAAATTTGGATAGGTTTCTGAACAAGCTTCTTCTTCTTCTTCTTCTTCTTCTTCTTCTTCTTCTTCTTCCTCCTCCGCTCTATCGGAGATCAGCAGCTACCAGGGTACTGCAGTTTGTCATAGCGCCGATATTCCTACAACAGACAAATAACATTACACGAAAGTCAATATGTGGGACAAGTCTAAATGAACAGCTCTTCAACTCACCTCTAAATAATACAAATCTAGTGAAGAAATTTGCGAATCTAAGAAATCCTCATAAGTATTGAATTCAGTAACTATGTTGTCACTTCCTGATGTTATTTCTTCCTCCATGTTTTAAGGTACAAATTGATGTCCTTTGCAGCAGAAATTTTGTCAACTTCCCAATGTTGTTACGTATCACGCTGTCTGTTTTGATAAGAATGCGCAGTCGGGCAAAGAATGGAAATAGTTCCTTGAATTCAGTATACAGAAGGCATAAATCTAATATTCACATGGAAATCTCATGAATTCAGGAATTAAATAAAATGTAATTAGTATTAAAATTGCATCTGACGAAAAACCCCGTCGATTTCACTTTATTTCTTGTAAAATAACGATTCGACCTGTGTGGACTGTTGCTAGGCAACGTCTATGAAGTAAGGGAAATGGTAAAAACTAAAAACTTCCTAAATATATTAATATATTTATTGTTCACAATGGTATTGCTAAATCAGTTGAAGGTAATGGTGATAATATTAATTAAAATTATAGTAATTTTAGATAATATTTATGATAATAAGGAATGAGGTACTCCTATATTCATTCGCCGAGGAAGTGCGCCCAGACTACGGAGCGTAGCCCCTCCCAACTCACTGCATACACCTGTCGCTCGTGCAAGTGCTCATTTGCATATGTAATTGTCTCATGTCTCCCATAGCGACATGTATCGCTATCTGGCTTGTGACTCGTGCGGTCGTGTATCCGAAATAAATAGTAAACAACAAATATCTCTCACATTTGTTCCTGTTATAATTTTGTCTTCCTTTTTTATGCATTTTTAAAGCAAAGATCTGTCATCAAGAGTGCTGTAAGGTAAGAATCGTTGTTTTACGTGTGAGGTTTTGAAAAAGCTGATGATTTGCAGGGTGTTTTGTGCAGCCGCGCGCTGGCTTCGAATAATACCCATTTTTAGAGATCGTAATCGCCCGGGGACTGGACCGATGGATTACGCATAGAGAACGCCTGGTCTGTCACGCGTATCACGGCGCATGTATATTGAGCGGAGATAAAGGTTTACCTAATTTCATATTTTCATAACATTTTAAAGGTTAGAGTTATGATCTGTGAAATGGACATGGTTACGCATGTTGCCATCATTATCATACTGAATGATACGGCATATATATTTGTATTGTTGTTTATAAATATACAATTAAATTAAAAGGAAAACTTCTTTTAATTGATGGCACTGCAGCATGCAGCTGCACTGGCACAAGTGGCAGCATATATTTGATAATCGATGCGTGATGATATGTTTTAAAACCCTGAATGAAAATTTACTCTTTTTTTCTACAAGCGAAATTTTGATTCATTTAATATCATTATTGTTATATGGAGGCCTATAATCTTGTTAACATTTTTGTTCATCATCATTATTAGCATCATCATTATATCATCATTATAACTTCTTTATTACTTTTTTATTATTATATTATCCTCATGAAGATGATGATTAATATCATTATTATTCTATTTATTTTATTTTTTCATCATTATATTATCAATGTTTTTTTTTCTTGTGTGAAATCTAATCTTATAATAATAAACGCCTATATAAAAGAAATTACAAAAAAGAATATACACTCTTTTTCTATGTAAAATGTGGAATAAATAAAACTTCAAATACCATGAGTATAGTGCTTTGAACTTTATTAACGACCTGTTTAAACAATGAAATTATAATTGTTATTTTTCTATATCAACAGTTATTGTTTTATGTTTCATTCTTATTTACATGTACATTGTAGAACATATACTGCACTTCTAGGATATCTTTACAGCTATAATTAATTTTACTTAAAATCTACTCACTATTTCAAATTTATGATCACTAGTAAAAAAAAAAATCTCTTCTCCATATAAATAGGATCATATATTTGCAGAGTAAGGAAGGCAGACGTTCATCATGTTGAAGCAAGACATGCCAAGCGGGAAGGTCCTACTGAGCTTTGAGTCCAGTCCAAGGGGCAAGTCTCGCTACCAGACTCTAGCAGTAACGACCGATGAACCAGAGCCAGAGGAGGCTAAGGAATACGCTTCATTCTTGAAGTAAGGCTTGACTTGTAATAGATATCGGAAGGAAATAATTGTGTCAAATCTATACTAAAGGTTACTTAAGGTTGACTTCTGTATGAAGATAGAGATGCCTCTATGTCCTGGCTAATTGGTAGTACTCTGGCAGTATATAGGCATTGCCACAGTTTTTCCAGCCTATTTCCAAATTAAACATAGTATTCAGCCTCAACAACTTCACTTGGAAGGCTGTTCCACGTATTAACTATCATAGAGAAGAAATTACTACAAATATTTATATTTGCTCTGCACTTAATTTTAAATCTGTGACCCCTAAGTGCTAGTGATAGATGCCATTTATCTATGAAAAAATGGACTATATAGTTATTGATATAATTTTAATAATCATTTTGTCAAGTTTAACAAATATAGGATATATACATTCATGTTGATGCGTGCTGCCTTAATGATGAATATTACAAATGCTTTGAGAGAAAAAAAAGTTGTATTTTTATATTTTGAAAATTCTGAAAACAATGTTGTGGACAAAATGCTCCATGTACAATAAAAAGTAGAACCAAAATCTTAAAAATAATAAATTTCCTCATATTTAATCACAGTTTTATCATACCTCATTTATATGTTATACACATATTTATTAATAAGTGACTACTTCACGTCTTTCTTGTTGTTGGTAGTTTTTAAGTAAAATGTTAATATTCATGTTTCCATATTGATTGATCCAGAGCTCAAGAAAGGAAGTGTGGTCCAGATGGATACCTTGACTCCAACAAGTACACCCACTCCTTCCAGGTACGCGGGAAGGTCCTGGACTCCAAGGGTAACAAACCCAAGAAGGATGGAACCATATCACCGGCGCTAGCCAAGTCTGCCCCACCCACTCTAGGGGCGCAGTCCATGGGGGATCTATCAGGGCCCAAGAAGGTGGAGACGGTGGTGGACGTGATGCAGAAGGTAGCCCAGGATGAGAGGGAACATGGCAGGAGGATGAAAGTCATTGAGGTGAGAAGATCATCCAAGTTTCAAATTTAATAAATGCAAACATTATGGGCATTGTTTAACATTTTTTCTAGTTTTACAAATCTGAGATGCATGGCATACCTGTTTTCAGTGTCTGTAATAAAGTTTATTGGAGCCCTAAAGAAATTGCGCTTTAAAATGATCATGAAGTGCTATAAAAAAGTAAAAATCTTTGAGTGACCGGTTTTACCCAATAGACTGTAGTTTTATAAAAACCTTTGGGAAACAGTTTTTTAAATTTCTAAGACCAATCATAAATATCTTGATAATCAGGCAGGCGATTGGCTTGTAAAAGTCATGGAATTCCTGACTGACCCAAAGGTTTTTAATTATGATTTTTTTTAGAATCTGATGCAAATTAAGATACCCAATCCATTTAAATTTTCCTAGAAGTGGCTGATTGTGCCTTCTATGCTTGGTTGGTGGTTGGTTGGTTTTAAAATTGAAATACAAAACATAATAACACATGAAGAATCAAAACACTAAAATATTTTTCATAAACTATTCTAGAGGAAAATAATGGAATTAAAATGAAGATCAAGGGATATCACCTACTTCAGATTGACTGACAGTGTTGATCTGTTCTTCATCGGGGTCTCTAAAGCTTTTTTCAGATATAGGCGTTATATCGTAATATCTTTTTTTATGATACACATGCATGTGCATGTACTGCAAATACAAGATAGTGTCAAAGTTTAATCAAGAAAGTACCCAGCTTTAAAAATATGTTTCAAGGGTTTTTCTTTCCACAATTCCTAGAAGTATTTGTTTTAGACTATTGTATACTTCTATTCCAAAAAAAAAATCAAACTCCATGTCATAAACTTGAATTTATTTTGATTTGATAAACCTTTCCTCTTCTACATGTACATAGGATCACATGTGGCAGCATAGACAAGAAGAGAGAGATCTGAAGAGGGCAGAAGGAGACCTTATGAAGAACCAGGCCTCTCTCAAAAGGACCATGAGGGACTATGAAATAGGTAAGGAAACATTTACAAACATATAACTCTGAATAAGTCAAATCTGTTAGTTCTGCATAAATAGTTTGACTTATGCAAAATTTGACTTTGAAAGTGTAGATAACACATATTTTGCATAGTTGGTCCAAATTATTGATTCAACAAAGATTTGACTTGTAGACTTTAATGTATGCAGAGGTAACTGGTTTTTGATGCGATGGATATTTAGCGATAATTAACCTTTTTACATGATCATAATGAGCTGTCCATACATACATCTTGTAACCGTTGACATTTAAACATATCTTTCAAAAGTTGGTTGTACGATCAGAAGTTTCAATATGTAGAAGGTGCATAATTCACTTAAACCAGATTTGATGGAAAACCCATTAATAGGTGTACAGTTTGTAAAAGTCTCGCACACAGCAAACCTGTGGTCCCATCACCAAATACCCCCTAGTTTCTCAGAGAGTCTTCTGGTGAGGGAAATGTAAGATTAATAATTGTATTATATGGATGGGACGGGTGGAAAATGCGGAGCATTGTATATGACTATTTTAAATAAAACTATGAAGGCTAATCCTGGTGATTGACAACACCTGTTATTGGGTAAACACCCAGATGGTGTCAAATTCCCCATAAGAGCCCACTACTATCACTATGAGTATGACTGACAAAGGAAGCGGACAAAATATACAGTTCCTCAGGTAGATAAAGGAACATCCCTTCAGTGCTATTATGTAAAAATGTGTAGAACAGGTGTCACATGCATATTCACCTTTTACATAATAGAAGTGAAGGGATGTTCCTTTGTCTACCTGAGGAACAGTATATTTTGTCCGCTTTCTTTGTCAGTCATGTTCATAGTGTATGCAACATTAACAAAACTATTTATTTGTTGATATTTGTTTTCTCCATCTCACAGCCATCAGTCGTAGGAAACAGTCAGAAGACCAAAAGATGTTGGATAATAAACAGAAGGAGTTTTTCATTACAAGGGATTACGTTCATCAAAAAGAAGGGGTAAGTTGTGTTTTGCTCTTTCACTATACTACCTGTACCATAAGTCAAGCTTTAGCAGTACAGTGTCATCTTTAAGTGATGTTTTTGCACTAATTTTTAATCTGGAATGCTGGGAATTACACTTTACATATTAGCAGAAAGAGCAAAAATCACATAAAATTCTGAGTCTATTTCCAATGCAATGCATGTGCCGTTCTCAAATAAAAGCGATTTGATTTTAATTCTCATTAAAATGCTCTAAATTCTCATTAAAATGCTCTAAATTGGCAACACAGTGTGAAATATGAAATACTATTTTCATTGAGTTTTACAGTTTAGCTTTTCCACAAACATACACAATAGATATACCCTACATGCATATTGTGCATATTGCATTTATTTAATACCAAAATGCTCAATTATATACAACTAATTCAGTAAAGCAAGCAGACAAATAGCAATGTACATGTATTATTGTGTAGTACATATACCAATCTTTTATTGTCGTATATAAATATATATGGCGCTTAATATACATGTATGTTTCTTAACGTTTTGCTTTGTAATTATAATTACCCTGGTCATTGGATTCAATTGCTCATCTGCACATAGTTTAATCCTTCCATATTTTCTGTCTTTATTTCATTCAGCTCACAAAGAAGAATATAGAGAAAACTGTAGCGAAACAGCAACAACTCAAGGATGAAGACAGAAAGCTTCTTCTATCAGTGTGAGTATCATGAACCTGTATATAAAGACCACTCAAGGGAGACAAGAAGAGTTTATGAAAGACAGGAATAAAACATGTACATAAAAAAAGAACACTAAACAGAGACAGGAAAAATGGTCTTTGTAGGGAGGTTGTCTTCCTTTATTTTATTGAAACCTTTACATACACACCAATCAAGGAAGACGATAAAAGTGGTCTTTATGGGCAGGTGGTTTGTATGTAATTTTGTTTATTTAATAGCACATTTCTATAAAACACTGTTCAAGGGAACAACAAAAATTGGTCTTTCTACACAAGTGGTTGCTGTTGCTTGGTTGATTGTCAAAATTGTGTTTGTGTCAGTCATTGGATACGGTATGCAAATGGGCAAATGAGGACAAAGATCTTCAATAAGGGCTTGAAATTTGTACTGTAATTATTGGATAGCTTTATACGTTTGTATAGATGATGCCTCCGTAGAAGGCCTATCGGATTCAAAATGTGCATTCAAAATCCAAATTGTAAATTCTTTCAAAAAACACAGATATTCTTCAGTGTTTGGTATTGGTGACTTAAAGTTAATTGAGGCACAGTGATTTGGGCAAGATATATTTTAACAGCTTTTACTGACTCCATTTTGTTTTCCATTTATTTACTCCAATTTTAAAAGAAATCCATTTCTAAAGAGGAAATGTATGCCAATACGTCTCAGGTGACTGAATCATGTTTGAATTGCTTTGCAAATTAGAAGTTGTCCTATTAATGAGGTTTGGGTTCTTTGGACACCTGGCTTTGGATTTCAATCATTGTTAGCTGTGAGAGCTACATGTAGTCTGGAAGGTGTCTTAATTAGTCCTGAGACAAAGCTTGAACCAATTTGATTGGTCTATTTGTGACTGTCCGTACTGCTGCTGTTGATTGCTGGTTTGAACAGCTGTCAAACACTGTTTGTTGATACCTGAACTGGCCTTTTTTTGTGCAGTTTCACAATTTAAACAACAACAAAAATTGCTGTAGGGAAAAGGACTCTGTACATGTATACTGGGGTCATAGATACCTGTTTCAACTTTAGTACTAGCTGTGGTTGGTAAAACCTTACAAAACACTTAGTTTTCATTGTTCACTTGGTTAACATAAAGAAATCATGTTGCAGAACCCAAGGAACACTAAATTTTCTGGTGTTTGTACAAACAGGACTCTATTGCACTGGTATCTCATCTGTTTCATAACTTTGCAGGCTGTCCCTTATTCTGGTGTTTGTGTGGTGTAATTACGTGCACCATGGTGTCTTTTTCATTTGGGGGACAAAGTGGTAGTACTTAACAATGTATGTAATTTATACATTTTTCTTTCATAAGCTAGTTCCCAAATTCTGCCCAGAGAAACAAATAAACTCATTTCAACCAAGAGCTGACAAGGAAACTCTGAATTAAATACCCCCATACTACCACCAGTGAATGAACAACCACCATTTTACCCTCTTTACAAGTACCCCCTTAGGAGGCAAAGGGGAAATCCCCTTGTTTTCTTGTAAGTCTTAATGTCCATATGTAAGCTTCAGATGTTCCTAGTTACATGTATTTTTTACCAGGTATCCACTTCCTCAATCAGTTACAATAATATTGTGATTTTGACAATCATATTTACCTACTTAACTGGACGTCCTTAAAGCCCCACTGTCCTACTTGTAGCTACTTGCTCCCTCTATATAAAAAAAAACTTCCAATCGGTGCCTGTTGGTCCCCCATGATCCTCTTTTTCTATAATGTTAGTTGAGAGCTGAGTTAATGAGATAGCCACCTGTCAGTGACCTCGCTGTGTGGTCTAATCCCTTCTGGCCCAGTAGTATTGACGGTCTTTAACATTGGGATTAGGTAATAATATTGCTCTAATTGCTACTACCACCTTCTTCATTAATTCATATTCATCTATATAGTTATATGAATATATCTTAATATCTTCCTGTTCTACTTTATCACCCTACAGTGGTGACTTGGAAAGGAAGTACCGTGCCAAGATGGATGAGATTGAGCTGCGCCGCATCGAGGTTCAGAAACTGAGCGAGGAGTTCACCAAGAGGATGGTTCTCAAGGAAGAAGAGACCCATCGACTCAACAATGAACTCACAGACCTCGCTCTCAACATCAACATGGAGATCAAGAAGAACCAGACCGTCATCAAAGACACTAGAGAGTAAGCTCCTTCATAATTATTTTGCTTACCCAGGAAAGCCTCGTCATCATCGTCAATGCTATTCTTCCTGAAGGCCCTGCAATTTCTATTACCCTAGCAATTTCCTAGGTACCCATTTATACACCTGGGTGTAGAGTAACAAATGTAGATTAAAGATGCTGTGTCCCATTTGCAGCCAACTTCAAATTCTGTAGAACTTTGCAGGAATTATGAATATGTCATGTATGTCCTATCTGTGAAATTTAAAAGTTAGCAATGTCCTAGTATTCAAATTATGCAAGGAAACCTGTGTACTTTTTAGACTTCATTGTCAGACACTATTGAGTAACTGCCTGACTTTTTTTTCTTTGGTAATAACATACATACAATGAGCTGTAAAGGGTACATGAGCATTTGTTTACAACAATAACCCACTTCTTGTAATGGCCAAAATTAAACTGATTGAATCTTTGCTTGGCACAAAATGAACACCATTCGATTAGGTACAAGGGTGTGAAAATCAGAGTTGTTTACACATTTGTAAACTTTGTTGTACCCTTGAGGTTAAACATATATGTTCTAAATCTATATTTCTGTTATTTTACCATGTTAACACACTGTGTCTTTTCTCATTTACTCTCTTACAGAGATGCTCTGGCTGAAGGCAACGATAGGTGGAGGCAGACAAACGAGACAGAAAGGAAATACGAACAAAAGCTCAAGTAAGTTTGATAGAACAAGATAATTTGGTGATTGTTTTCCAATATTTTCTACATTTACTTTTGTTAATTTTGTCAAATATATAGTGTTAGGTTAGTATGAGGCTTTAGTGTTTGATGTAATGTAGACTCCAGGGTTGAAGGTTAATTTGGAGAGTCTAAAAATTAACCTCAAAGCAAATTCAATCTATATATTACAGATTACTTGTCAAATGGTTTGTGAATTAGGGCAGAATGATTTAGGCAAAATGTAGGCATTTCTCCACTAAAATGGAATCATATAGACCTGATCCGAAGAAAGGGCTACCGGAATTGAGTATTTACTATGTTGTCATGGTTCCAAGACATTGGATTTTCCATTTTTTTTCATTGTATTAGAATGTTAGCTGTTATACGAATTGTTTCTGTTATGCTTACTAATTATTTGATACTTATGTGTGGTTGATGGTGAATAAAAGGTATTATCAATTTGATGTGCAAGAATTGTTTCCTTTATGTCAAACTGTAAAATGTGTGTATATTGTAGACATGTTCTGGTTCACTATAATGCTGGCCAAAAACAATGTCTACACTTCGTGAAAAACTTATCAAGTTAATACTTACCATTGACTTTTTTTTGTTTTTGTGTTTAGGAAAACGAAGGACAAGGCAGACGTATTTGAGAACAGCAAGAGGAAACTGAGTCTTGATAAATCACTAGCAAGAACTGGAATGGAGGAAAAGATACGTGATGGTGAGAGAACATGCCTATTATCACTTTCTATGATGATATGTAACAGAATATGTGATCTTGCCTAGCTGTATTTTGGGAGAAGTAACGAGGGACGTATTGTGATGGTTTCTATCTGTATCAAGTACATTGTAAATGTCTTCTTTTTTTTTCTTTTTTTGTAAAGAGAGGAGAAAAAAAACAGTAAATACCAACTATTTTCTTGTAACCTGTTGACTAAAGAATTCTCTTTAATCTCACATGCTTTACTGATACATGAGCCACCTGGTTGCCATAGGCAGTAGGTTTACTTCATCTGTTTTGTAATAACATCTCTTCAATAAGATGCTATTTTTGGCCCATAGGACCCTCTGTGTGGTATTCTTGTTATACTTTTACCCCTCGTGTCACAGATGTATAATTATTACTAAAAATTAAATGAGATATGTTTCATATATAACTCATTCATTTTCCCTACAATACCAAACTGATACAACAAGTAGGGATATTTTCTAATTTGGAAAAACAATTTGGAATAGGAATAACATGTCTTATTTACCCAAGGATGCGTGAACAGTATTAATGCTGTGCATGGCATGGATTTAAACCCTGTATGCTGAGCTTTATATAATTCTGACGACTTATCCATAAGACCATGACACCTGTTATTTGTAAATGATAATTAACATATCTGCATATTTTTCATCAACAAAATTGAATTCTCAATATCATCGTTCAAAATTCATTTAAATATCAATTTTCTTTTTATCTGGTTGCTAATGCCCAGAGGGTAGAGCTTTACTGGATACCAGGAATCAACTGGGAGATAACCGCTTCACCCAGAAGAAACTACAAGAGGAGGCTCTCAATACCAAGCTAGACCTGACCAATAGGAAGATAGAAAGAAGGCTTCAGGTAAGAATTAGGAAAGACAGAGCTGACATTTGTGTACTTCCCACCCCCCCCCCCCCCCCTCCATCCCCCATCCTTGATGGCAAACTATTTCTTCAGACCTTTTAAACAATGCACCAAAGATAGAATTATAACTTTTTTTATCAAGAATATATCTACATTTTCTGGAAGGGCTTTGGTGATGAATAAAGAATAAGATATTTGCATTCAAAGATATTTGCCTCCTTTCAAGTTAATTAATAAAGAAAATAATGAGCATTTCAGACTGACACATTTGAAGTTGTGATTTTTGCATTTGCTTCTCGATGCAACAAGGGAAAGGAGATAGCAGAGCATCAGAGCGTATTCTGAATAAAGAAATTATACCAAATACTGAATGAAATATCAGATTCCCTTATAAAGAGAATTGTTTCCTTTGGAAAAAGATCAGTTAAACTGTAAATATTCAAGAATTACAAAAGTTTAAATTTTTACATCAGCTTGACAATGCTAGGAGAGCAAAGAGTCAGCAGTAACTGAATAATAACAGTTTCTGAGTAAAAGAATATCAGATTCCTTTTAAAGGGATCGTTTAACAATCATATGTTAAATCTGAGATGCATGGCCCTACATGTTACCAGTGTCTGTGATATGGTGTAATATTGAAGCCCTAAAAAAAATCGCGCTTCAAAGTGATTAAGAAGTGCCTCAAAATAGTAAAAATCTGTGAGTGACCAGTTTTACCATACTCATTATCCCCAATAGACTGTAGTGTTATGACAACCGTTTGGCAAATGGTCTTCAAAATTTGTAATTCCAAATAGAAATATCTTGATAATCAGACAGGCGATCGGCTTGTAAAAGTCATGGAGTTCCTGACTGACCTATAAAAGGTTTATAATTATCATTGCAGCAAGAGCTAAATCCAGGATTTTGTTTCAGAATCTGAGACAATGTTACCGGATCCCTTTAAAGGAGAATTCCCTATTCAAGGAAGGGCAGTTAGTGAAATGAGCAACCATTTCAAGGTGACAAATATCTTATCAATATTTGTTTTTCCATTCAGATTCACAATGCAAGGAGAGAGAAGAGACTGCAGAACATCACCACCGATAAGAAGGGACAACACAAGGCGTCTGTGGCTAAGTGGACCGAGAGATACAGCAAGAAATATTACGACGCTTCCAGGAGACAGAACGAAGATGCAATGAAACATGCGCAGGTAGGATGTCGGGATTGGTTTTCATCTCACATGTTCTTCCAAAAACATTCTTAGCACAGAACGTCTCATCCTATATGTGTGTCTTCAGCATGTAAAGTGATGTCTTCCCATTGCATGGTTGCATATAATGTTCCCTCTATGTTTTGTCCTATGTTCATGTTATTATATATGTTTAAAAATATATATGATATGACTGTTCACATTATTTTTGTTTATCTTAATGATATTGTTTATGTTTGTAATTCGTTATCGTGACTGTGGTCTATGTTCTTATTGATTTATTTTATATGTGTCTCACTTTTTTTGTCATACCATCTTTTAAACAACCAGTCAGTGATGTATTGTTCTGTAATGAAGAAGAAAAAACACTTTAGCTCATGGATATCATTTCCTTATTGACTTCATATAGCCATGTTTGTACTTCGGGAAAAGATGAAATTTTCCATTTATGTATCTGAAATTATATTTAGTTACCACATTTTATTTGAACAATCATTATTGCATCATTGTTTAACAGAGGACTGTATCTAAGCTGGAGGAGATCGAGCACAACATATCAAACCGAGTGCGAGACTCGGAGCTGTCTCGCAAGCAGCAGGAGCAGCAGGCCAGGCGCCTCAGCAGCAAGCTGGCTGAGATGAAGAGGCAACATCAGATGCTCATCAAGCAACAGATGATCGACTGTGCCAACAAGGAGAGAGATCTAGAGCAGAAACTACTCAGGCAGCAGTCGGAATTAGCAAAGGTGTGTATCTATTTTTGTGTGTGGATTCTAGAACAACTATGAGCCAGACTGCTACCAGCTGGACAACTAACTTCTGAACAACTGTCACTCAGTATATATGATTAACCTTTATTTGAAACTGTTTTTAGTACCGTCAAGGCTCGTCAGATGTGGCATGGTAAACCATGCACCACCAACAAAAAAAATCATGTTTCTTTTAAATGTATAAAGATGTGTCGACTGCGTGCAACAAAGGTCCTGCTCATATTCGCTGAGCTCTGTGTTACAATAATGTGATGCATATTACCCTTTACGTCATGTTTTAAAAAAATCTGTGGTATATATTGTGTTTAGCAATCATGTGGATTCCTCTTCTGACAACTAAAAACTCATCTTGACTTGTATCTATTATAACAAACATCAACTGAACAATTCATTTTTTGTAAACAGGCTCATACTAACCGTGAAGAGGGGTATCTTACACTCCAGAAGCACAGGATGTCTATGGTGGAGGATGTCAATATACTCAGCGAGACTGCCAGGGTGAGATAGACTAGACTACTGTTAAATCATTTCTAGAGAAAGATCATTATTAAAAGATTAAAAGATAATCAAGGTCCATATGAAGCTTTTTGAAAAAGGGTACAGCATTCTTTCATTAAAATATGACATATGTGTTTAGCTGGAAATCTCTCTTCACCAATGAGGGGGATGCATACAAAATTCTCTGACAAGCAACAAAACAAAAGAAGAAGAAAAAATATCAGATTGTTGTGGTCATGTTTTCACTCTGAAAGGGGGGGGGTCACACTTATCAAACCACTTCCCCACCACCTTTTTAGATGGGCCTGTAATCTTGAGACCTCGTATTGACATAAAATAAACAAAACATACAGTGAGTCTGCGAATACAAAGAAATAGCATGTGCCAAATGATTTGGGTAGAAATGCATCACAGTAAAGTAGGGTGCATGGTCATCTCTATTATGTGTGCTTAATATGCTATGATATGTGGTCCCCATCATACTAATATTCGCTGGTTTAAACTACCAACGTTACTGCATAATAGACCATCCAGAATTACAATCCCAGAACCTTTACTCAGGGTTAGCTTTAATCTGTAAATGCTTTATATCATGACACCAGTCCTCACACAACATGCGCACCTCTCCATTTTAGGAGCATAATTCCCCACCATTTGCCATGTTTTTTCAAATGCTAATAGGATTTTTTCCCTCCTGCATAAACATTACAAATGCAGATTACAGTCTTATGGCATAATTTATGGAATTTAACAGCCAGGTTATGTTTGCTTGTCCACTGATTATAGATTGTTTTTTCTTGACACAGGAACATCAAAGGCTGATGAGGATAGGACAAAAAAGTGACGTGCTGAGCAGTGTACCTTGATCATCTCAGAGCATACGCCTTTAACTCTCTGAGTTTCATATGTGGAATTGCCATGTATAGTTTCTGATGGCATTTTGAGCGTACGGTATGCAGAGGCTTAAATCATAATGAACATGTAAGGAGGGTTAATCATCCTCCCATCTGAGCATGACATGTGATGCGTATCCATGGTGACACCTTCCTTTATCGATGGGCTATGCAAGATCTTCACTCTTCCTCTCTGTGATATGGTTGCTGTATACACGTAGGTTGATCTGGAAAGAAGTTGTCAAGTCAAGACCTTGATGCCACTCCTAGGGAGCTTAGCGAAAGAGACTGGCATGAAAAGACGTATCGGAAATGCACCAAAAAAACATAATTGTTGCAATCATATTCTTAGTGCATTGAAGTAGAATAAGATAAGAACATGAAATTGATAAATACCTTTACTACCTTTTATTAGGCCCTGAAATACCCAAAGTTATATTTCAGATGTCACAAATAACCACTTTTGATTCACCGACTACCATATGCCTCTTGTACGTGTTCCGGATGCGTCTTTATCGTGCCACTACACTTTGCTAAACTACCATACGCGACAGAGGGTCGCGGGTCAACCATATAATCTCAACTTTTGGCACTTGCTTGGACTCTGATGTAAAGGACTACTTTTCTCAGACTGAAGCATCACTTTACATTACGTTTTTCTTTCTTCCAAGAGAGGACTTCTACCAGTCTCTTTAATTGGTAAAGAGTGCTCACACATATTTACATGAAATTGCACAAGTTATATTAGTTTCTTTAAAGCCATTTACAGTAATGTCAGTGAGTGGCCTCACCAAACTTTACCTATTTTTTAGTATTTCAAATTCTTTATTTGAAATGATTGCTGATTTTTCTGAGATATTAGGGATAGGTAGAAGGCAAGAACATTATTTCCATTTGCTTATGAATTAAAAAAACACAACCTATTAAGCCCATATGATGCAGGCACTGATCAAATTGAGCTATGATTGGGTAAGGGTTCTTGGAATCCTTTGGGGAATGCATCCATTTGTGTAAATCATATTGCCTCTTTTTGTATCACTAATGGAAGTCTCTGTCTGTTGAAAATGGACATGGTAGATAGCCTTCTTGGCCCTGTTTCATAAAATTGTTATAGAAGATAACTACCACATTCCTGCATTAAATGTGTTCCTTGCTATGCTACATTGTAGCTACAGTCAGTTATTATTTATAAAAAGATTTATGAAAAAGCTGCTGTTCTTGCACTATGTCTGGTTTTCTTCTCATATATTTTATAGGATGTGTATTCTGGTTTTGAATAATAGAGGTATCACATATTTTAAATTGATGGAGTCTGAAATTGATATTGAACTTTTGATTTGATTTATTGTGCTTTTGCTTTAGGTATTCTTACACTTTTATCAATTTGAAGAGATGAATTGTCATTGTCTTTCATTACTTAAAATATGCTGCTGATATATATTGTGAAACCTTTATTATTCAAGTAATGCAATGAATCAGGTATGGAGACATTTTGTATTACACAGTGGAAGCAAACGTTGTCTTGTGAAAGCCAGCAGAGCACTTAATCTACAACTTGTATGTAAAATACTTACAACAAAACTGCAGAATTACCTGCCAGTATAAATGAAAGCAATCACATGTTTTTAGAATTTAGATTATGACTTGTATGAAGATTAACACACATTCTCCAGATATTAGGGCAAGTATCTTTCTTATAACATAAGGTTAATGTGTATCTTAAAGTGAATATGATTTAACAAATATATGGTGTATATTACGTACCGTCTGTCTATGCAATATGAAATTATCTAACTGTGCCTTTTAAAAATAAATATGCATTTTATTTGCTAGATAGGGCAAATTGTCACCTCTGGTTAATGAATTAGTGAAAATATGCTGATATTCAATTTTCCATCATGTGCAGAATTTCGGCAAAGTGCAATTCTTGAATTTGCATTCACCTGTTACTGAAGTACATATAATCAAAATTTAGGTATGGTAAACCAAACTTATTGCTTGTGTGGTAAACAACCATGATCTTTAATAATTGACATGATTTTTTGCATTAATTATTGAAAGACATTCGATTTATCTTCTGATTGTGTGTAACCGATTCCAGCTGACTTTGACAATCATTCATTTGTAATTTTCATATTTTATTTTTTTAAAGAAAATCTAGTTTGAAAAGGAAATGTATAGGCATATAATGGACATGGAAAGCCTTTGGTCTTTTCCCTTATAAAGATGCCTCAATCTAAATCAAAAGAAAAAAAATTGGTGAAGTAATATTTCAGTCAAAAGAAATAAATTAATCAAGTATTTCATTCTTGTTGAAGTATTCATGCAACCATCATGGAATTGGATCAGAGACATCCACTAGAGCTGAATAGAATGTATTGGCGTGCATCCCATTTTAAAGGTTTCTTGCATAAGTATTGTAATGGCCGCCTTTTCTGTGCTATATTGTATCACAGATGACATAGTGATAATATAAAACTACATGTATACTGTGCACTGTGTATATGCTAGGGCTTGGTATTGGTTAATGGGGCATGGTAATAGTTTGCATCCCATTATTTTAAGGTTTCTCGCACAAGTATTGTAAGGCTGCCTTTTATGTGCTATATTTTATGACTGATTACATAGTAATAATGTTAAATTATACTGTGTGTTTGTTGAAAGTATGCTTTGAAATCTATGCAAATGACTGATTGATAGGTGTCTATTACTGTGCAGTATTACTGATAGTTATGAGTGATAGTATTCTAAACTTCCATTATTATTATTATGAATTATAGGCCTACTTCTATGTCTAACCAATGAGATGCTAACAACTTTTTGGTCAAAATGAACAAATATGACTTGATAAGATGAGTGAAACTATTAAGCACTTTTACTGAATATACACATATCTATAAAGTGCTTTGACATTGCAAATCCAGAATGTTATCAAGAGTGCAAGCATAACATTTAAAACTGTTACCCATAAGCATAGGATATTTTCTCCTTCAATATCATGTGCCTTTTGCATTTGTTCCCATTCAAGTTGAATTTTGTATTATGAATGTCGATTTGGGTTTTTTGGGGGGGTCACATTTTCGACACTTTATCTCACTGCATATATGATGTTTATTTTGCCATTCCAATCGCGTATAATTCAATATTGTATATATAATAATTACTATCCTTGAAGGCTGAAAATAATAAATGAAATATATAAAGGCATTGCCTTGACCTTGGAAAAGTCATTCCTGAAAAGTCTGTTCATTACAGCTTCCTGGTTTGTTCTTAGTTTGAAAGTCCTGCAGACAAATGGATTGACCCTGTTCTGTAGCCTTGGGGGGGGGGGGGGATATTCAAGAATAAATGTCACACGTACGATACAATTGCCCCCAGACAACTACCCCTAGAAAACTATCCACTAAGTCGTTTATACCTAGGTAGTTTGAGGGGGTAGTTGTCCAGGGTACATGTCCTGAAAGTAGTAATCCTATTGGTAGGTGGTCGAGGGGGCAGTCATTCCTGGTATGTGTTTGCACCCCCCCCCCCCCCCCCACCTCTTCACATAGTGAACATGTATTGACGTCCATGCACTGACGGCAGATTGTGGGCCTATTGATTGTGACGCATTTAAAAGTTTTAGATGTGGGCCGGTGCACATCTCTAAATCTTCAGGAAGTAATGGAATAAGCGACCTATACGGATGGAACGGACCGACAGTGCATAGATGCTGGCACTCAGGTGTATGAAGGTATGTAGGCATGTCAACCACTCCCCCCCCCCCCCCCCCCCCCCCCCCCCTCCTTCCACTTGAGACGTTTAGAATGTTCTGACAACGCCTCGAGAGCAAGTAGACTTCGAAAGAAGAGTAAATCACTGCCGACATATCTAATTGCGCTCAACAAGATCTCTTTGTGCGATAAAAGCATTCTAAACGTTTCGTCTCCGGCCAAAAACGTGCATGCCCTTTTACGCAGACGACACATTATTTCCGATATCAAGAAGGATTTGTCGATCATGATCAATTACGCTAATGCATGATCGTAATCGGCTTCGAGAGCGTGTACGTCACAGGTATACTAGGAGGAAATTGGGCGAAAGTATAGCCTTAAAAGCAATTTAAGACAATTAATCAACGATTGATATCTAGAGAATTGATTCGAGCGAAAGACCCGAGATTGATCGATTGTTCTTGATTCATCGTTATTGACACAGGCAGTAATAGAGCAAGGACTTCATGATTATGTAGGATATTTCGAAGATAGACTGGATGAGGCACTTTTCAGTTCTATATAAATCATTTGACCGTCAGTTGCCCGGAAGCGAAGGAATTCGTTAAATGCTCTCTATAGTTATGGGGGGGGGGGGGGAGTAACAAATAAAATTTCGATACCTCCGGCACTTTCTTGCCACTTCGATAAGCCATTGAACGAGTAATCAATGAAACATCAAATCGCATTATCGAGCTTTTAGTATGTTAAATGGGTCAAGCCTGCATTGGATGGGCTGCCTACATTCTCGCACTTACATACAATGCTCATGCAGTGCAATGTTTCATAAAACTTCTTTTCAATAGCAAACGCCTAATTTCTATGCTCTCGTTCAATCAAATGCAACGATTTCAGTAGCTTATAATAGTAATACACGTAGATAATAACCTGTCATGGAACAAGTTTTATGTATGAGGGTCTAGGTCTCATAAAGAGTTTCGATTGATCCGAATCAGTCGCGATTCCTCTAATCAATCGCAGGTTTGCGATCTCCTATCTCTTATATGCGATTGATATAATTTTCGATTAATATCAACAATACTGTTGTAAGACGGGGCCAATGTGTCACAATTTTTCATAACCAGCTGCGGTATCATTACTCCAATTTTTGCAGAAAACATTATTACATGCATTTTGAAAATCATGAGCACCATGCCATTCTCCGACGATAATTGAAATAATACCTTTCAAATCAATTTCGAGCGATTCATCATCTGCAATTAATATGTTAAATAAGAAAATGCCACCTTCTTTATTACATTTCGTTGTCTTTAGCAAGCAGATGATACAGTCTCATTTTATTTTTCGCAGAAACGTGCCACACATAGTCAGTTGCGGATAGAAAAATCTCTGACGATTTGAAAGGGGGGGTGGTTGACACATTCTGGAAAACAAACTCTCTATCAATCAAGAACACAGGATTACAACTTCGACAGGGGACACGCCTTCACAAAATGACGACCATTTGTGTTTGTCGTGTAGTTAAGATATAGGCATATGATCAGGTGGAAATTTGCCAAGACAGGGTCAGTGCCAGTAAACGCACGTGCCCATTTGCCCCACCCACCCCGCGTCTCTCTTAAATCCGCCACTTTAAACAAAAACTGCCTTTGCCTTTTTCGCTTCCTTAATTTGGATCACTGTCAGCGCCATGGCCCTGGAAGAGTAAAATATTATCTTAATTTTAGAGATCTTCTGTTTTCTAAGAGGAAAACAACGAACGAACCTTGCACTGTTACTTCATATCAGGCATACGAGATGGCCGGGTCTCTATCAACACTTTAAACACACCATGTACAGACTAGATTGATGACAATGTAAATCACAAGAACCAATTAAATACACTCCATTTCTCCCATGATCACTGTCAATCGCATGTGAGATGCTTCACCGGCCCGGCATGCAAGACGCGTGGTAAGGAGTAAGGGTTAAGAGGAAGGAGGAGGCAGGAGGAACGTGTGTGGTGAGGGTAATGAGAGAGAGAGAGAGAGAGAGAGAGAGAGAGAGAGAGAGAGAGAGAGAGAGAGAGAGAGAGAGAGAGAAAGAGAGAGAGAGTGGGAGGGGGTAGGGAGTGAAGAAAAGAAAAAAAAGAGAGAGGGAAGAGAGAGAGAAAAAGAGAGAGAGGGAGGGGGAGAGAGAGGAGGGAGAAAAAGAGAGAGAGAGAGAGAGGAGAGAGATGGGAGACAGAGAGAGAGGGGGGGGGGAGAAAGTAGAGCAAGGCCAAGGAGAGACAGAGATACATAAGATAAGGTAGGAGTAAGAGAAAGGGTAGGGTCGAACGTGATTGGTGAAATGGATGAAAGTGAGAGGGAGAGAGAGACCGAGGTAAAAGAGGAGACGAAGGAAAATGAGAAGAAGGAGGAGGAGGGGAGGAAGAGGAGAGAGAGAGGGAGAGAGAGAGAGATAGAGGGAGAGAGAGATGGGTAAATAAAGCAGGGAGGTGAAGTTGTGAAGAAAATGGGAGACTGAAGGCAGAAAGGAAAGAAAGAAAGAAGATGTATTCACATCATGGCTTGCACATGTACTTGAGCCCTCCTCGGCTTTTCGTTGACATGGTAACTACGAAAAATGTGCATAAATTAAAGTTGACCGCCGGTCACCAACTTGAACCTTAACATTCGGACCAAATGTTATTTACCTATTACTTCGTTAAGTGTAACCAAAAGACTTGCAATATATAATTTCCCTGGTCACTTGTTACAATAAGGATCCTGAACATAAAAATCGAATATTAACAGGTTCTCAAATGCTATAGATTCAATCCAGCTACGGCTGCAATCCAGCTCCGATGATGTCTGCATTCTACCTACCAGGTACCTATATATATATCCCCAGGTACAGAACAGGGATAAATGAAATGCCATGACCGAGGACGTCAGTGCCGTGCAGGGGTTTGAACCCATGAGCTTTGCACGATTGTGGAATGATTAAACCACTCAACTACAAAACCTCTATCTTTATTTATAATTCCATCTTTAGGAAATTAAAGTATTTAGTTTGACCTTTAAATTAAAAAATGACGAGCGTCGTTTTATATTCTTAAATGACTTCAGAAGACACACTTCAATTTGTATTCTGCTTGTGG